AGCACTCTACTACACACACATTCATACAGCACTCTACTACACACACACATTCGTACAACACTCTACTACACACACACATTTGTACAACACTCTACTACATCTCTACAGAGATTATGTGACTCAGACTAATCACAGCTTTAGATCACATTCATACACTGATGGAACACACCAGGGAGGAGTTCAGAGTCTTGCCCAGGGACATTTCAGCATATGATTGCTGATGGAATTGAACCCTCAACTCTCCCATTGGAGGACAACTGCTCTAAGCATTCAGCCACAGCTGCTCCAACAGTTTAATGTTTTAATGTGTCACTTTGGGCTTGCTGTATTTACTAAATGTAAGCAACCTTTCAAAATGCTTTTATTCCTCAAAATAACGACTGTATTTTGTTCTTGAGTTTTACTGTGAGTGCAGCAGACCACTGCTTTCTCAGGCACAGAAAACTTCACTGAGCATGTGCAGAGAACACTACTGGGCATGTGCACAGATCGTTTTGATAGTTTCCTCATTTGAAACAGGTTTGACTTGACAGACTGCAAGTTCAGCTTTTTCATTTCTTTGTTCGTTTTTTTTTGTTTGTTTTAATTTGTTTAAATTTTTTAAATTTAATTACATTTTAACAAATCTGTTGCATTTAAGAACTTTATTATGGTTTTTTTTTTTGTGTGTGTGGGGGGGGGGGGGGGGGTAGGATTAATTAAACAATCCAAGGAATCTTTCCCCTCTCATCCATGCATGTTGTATTTTATTCCCTTGAATGTTTGACCGGTTTCACGTTCTCATGCTTCATTTGCCAGTCAATGTGTTGTCACTCGATGGGACACACACACATCACTGTAGAGTTGTCATTCAATGTGTGTGTGTAAAGAAGTCAAACCAGTTGGACAGATCAGTGTGGCTCCTGAACGGATCTTAGCTGACGCATGCTGACAAACCTTGGCTTTTTCCTTTGTATAATCTGTTCATTTGAACCTTTCTCGGTCGTGTTCCTATGGATTTCACTCAGGATCTGTAACTTTGAAAGCAAGGATGGGAAAACAAACTACAGTCTGACTGATCATGAGCATTGCATGGAAAGGTGTGCGCATGTATGTGGGTGTAGCTGGCTCTACAGAAGACGAGGACGTGAAGTCAAACAGGCATGTCTCACGTTTTGTCTGAACTGTGTTTATAATGGACATGTGCTAGTTCATAGACTCTAAAGTGAAATATTCTCGAGGCCCCCTTTGCGCGCTCATGCGTCCTCGAGAAGGTGTGGTGCTGGTGTTGGCACTGTGGCGCTGCGCAGGACTGCTGCTCAGTTCTGTGTGTCTGTGCGCAGGAATGGGTAAGTTTTCTGCCTGTCTGGTCATGCAGATCACACACAAACATCACGAGTAGCCTTAAAACTCAGCACTTATTTATATCTACTTGTAGAAGAAGACTGCATCTTTGGCATCGTGGGACAGGCCGTGCTTCTACCCTGCCTCTCCCATGAGCTGCTTACAGTGGAGAATGTTTCCATTGAGTGGAGGAAAGATGATGAAGTGGTGCTCAGATCAGTATGGGATGAGAATGGAAATGTGGAGACACAGAGTGTGAAAAATGCCACTATCCTTGCTGATGCCTCACACACTGGAAACTTCTCGTTGGTGCTGCCAGTTGTACATCCCAGAGAGGACAGGATGCATTACCGTCTTTTCTTCGTTTCAGGGCAGAATCAAAGTTCCCCGCTGTGTACCGTGTGCCTCAGGGTAGCAGGTTAGTTCCAAACACAGCAGATCATCAGAAGAACATCTATAGAAACTAACTCCTGCTTGTTTTGCAGTCAGTTTTAGTGTTCCCTTGTTGGAGAGGGAACACACAACTGTGAATGATGAGACAACCTTCCTATGTCACTCCACCGGTGGCTACCCCAAACCTGTCGTCTACTGGCTCATTGACAATGCTCAGGAGCCCCCCGAGGGTTCAGTAAGGACCCAAACAACTTTTGATCCTAACTCCCATCTCTACCACATCACAAGCAACCTGACAATCCCCATTTCCAAAGATGTCAACGTGTCGTGCACCGTAGAGTCTATGAACGCCACCATGAGACACAGATGTGAGTTGTTCATTAGAGGTTAATTAGGCCTCAAAATGCACCCACACCTCACTCATCTCTGCTTCTTCTTGGTGTACAGACGATCCTGGTCCTGTGGTGAGTCGGGCTTCAGAGGCCATGTGGCTCTTCAGCACTGCCTTGTGTGTGGTGGTCGGGATCATGGTCATTGCAGGAGTGGCATATCAGATCCACCTGGACAAGATAAGTAAGAAACGGAAGAAGGAATGTCAACAACCAAAGAGAGGTAGGTAGATCATAACCCCAGACAGAGATGGATACATCTGAGCTCAGGCAGGATGCTTCTAAATATAAGAGCATAGATCAGAGGTGGGCAATTTGAAAAAGATTAAAAGATAAAAATTTATTATATAAATGTTAAAACAATCAAGACCAAAATAAATGATAAAGCTGCTGCAAGTGGCTCATTGGGGTCACCATGGTAACCACATATGTCACTCCTTGACAGCACTAAGACATGCAGACTTTAAAGTAAGCCTCAAACAGTTCTGCTGCATGCTCAGTAATCCAGGTAGATAAATCTAACCAGGATGAGTCAGGTCCTCTGGACAGGTTCTTCTTTGTTGAAACATTTTATCTTTTATCCAAAAAAACTTCTTCAGTCTGAGGAGCTGCAACAAACTGTTTTTATTTTCACAAAAAGAACCTGTAATTAGTGTCTTTAGCAAAAAAGTAAAGGACTGTCCGCTTCTTACAATGCTGTTATTGCTAATATCACTCAGCACCCTCTGAATAGCAAGTGGCCATCAGGGCACTAATGACCAATTGTTAGGCTGATGTTTTTTTTTTCATCCATCCATCCATCCATCCATTTTCTTCCGCTTATTCGGGGTTGGGTCACGGGGGTAGCAGCTTAAGTAGGGAGGCCCAGACTTCCCTCTCCCCAGCCACTTAGGCCAGCTCCTCCGGGGGAATCCCGATGCGTTCCCAGGCCAGCCGAGAAACATAGTCCCTCCAGCATGTCCTGGGTCTTCCTCTGGGTCTCCTCCTGGTGGGATGTGTCCAGAACACCTCACCAGGGAGGCGTCCAGGAGGCATCCTAACCAGATGCCCGAGCCACCTCAACTGGCTGCTCTCAATGTGGAGAAGCAACGGCTCTACTCTGAGTCCTCCTGGATGATCGAGCTTCTCACCCTATGTCTAAGGGAGAGCCCAGACACCCAGCAGAGAAAACTGATTTCGGCCGCTTGAATCCGAGATCTCGTTCTTTCGTTCACAACCCAAAGCTCATGACCATAGATGAGGGTAGGAACGTAGATCGATCGGTAAATTGAGAGCTTCGCCTTTTGACTCAGCTCTCTCTTCACCACGACAGATCCGTACAGCGCCCCCTTCACTGCAGATGTTTCACCTATCCGCCTATCAATCTCACGCTCCATTTTTTCCCTCATTCGTGAACAAGACCCCAAGATACTTGAACTCCTCCACTTGGGGCAGGACCTCCTACCTGACCCGGAGAGGGCACTCTACCCTTTTCCGGCTACAGACCATGGCCTCGGATTTGGAGGAACTGATCTTCATCCCGGCTGTGTCGCACTCAGCTGCGAACCGCTCCAGCGAAAGTTGTAGATCATGATCTGATGAAGCCAACAGGACTATATCATCTGCAAAAAGCAGAGACGCAATCCTAAGGCCACCAAAATTGATCCCCTCAACACCTTGGCTGCGCCTAGAAATTCTGTCCATAAAAGTTATGAACAGATTTGGTGACAAAGGGCAACCTTGGCGGAGTCCAACTCTCACTGGGAACGAGCCCAACTTACTGCCGGCAATGCGGACCAGGCTCTGACACCGGTCATACAGGGACCTAACAGCCCGTATCAAAGGGCCTGGTACCCCATACTCCCAGAGTACCCCCCACAGGGTTCCCCGAGGGACGCGGTCAAACGCCTTCTCCAAGTCCACAAAGCACATGTTGGGCAAACTCCCACGCACCCTCCAGGACCCTGCTGAGAGTGTAGAGCTGGTCCAGTGTTCCATGACCAGGACAAAAACCGCACTGCTCCTCTTGAATCCGAGGTTCGACTATCTGACGGATCCTCCTCTCCAGAAGCCCTGAATAGACCTTACCAGGGAGGCTTAAGAGCGTGATTCCCCTGTAGTTGGAACACACTCTACGGTCCCCCTTTTTGAATAGGGGGACCACCACCCCGGTCTGCCAATCCAGGGGAACTTCCCCCAATGTACACGCAATATTGCAGAGTCGCGTAAGCCAACACAACCCTACAACATCCAGAGCCTTAAGGAACTCCGGGCGAATCTCATCCACCCCTGTGGTCCTGCCACCGAGGAGCTTTTTAACCACCTCAGTGACCTCAGCACCAGAGATTGGAGGGCCCAACCCAGAGTCTCCAGGCTCCGCTTCCTCAGTGAAAGACGTGTCGGTGGGATTGAGGAGGTCTTCAAAGTATTCCGCCCACCGACCCACGACATCCCAAGTTGAGGTCAGCAGCACACCACCCCCACTATAAACAGTGGTGGTGGTGTACCGCTCCCCCCCCCCCCCCCCAAGACACCGGATGGTGGACCAGAATCGCCTCAAAGCCATGCGGAAGTCATTCTCCATGACCTCTCCAAACTCCTCCCATGCCCGAGTTTTTGCCTCAGCGACCACCCGAGTCGCATGTCGCTTGGACTGCCGGTACCCATCAGCTGCTTCCGGGGTCCCACAGGCCAAAAAGGCCCGATAGGACTCCTTCTTCAGCCTGACAGCATCCCTCACTGCTGGTGTCCACCACCGGGTTTGAGGGTTGCCGCCACAACAGGCACTGACAACCTTGCGGCTGCAGCTCCGGTAAGCTGCCTCAACAATAGAGGCACGGAACATGGCCCACTCAGACTCAATGTCCCCTACCTCCCCCGGAACACGTTTGAAGTTCTCCCGGATGTGGGAGTTAAAGCTCCGTCTCACAAGAGACTCTGCCAGACGTTCCTAGCAAACCCTCACAATACGTTTGGGCCTGCCAGGTCTGACCGGCATCCTCCCCCACAATCAGAGCCAACTCACCACCAAGTAGTGATCAGTGGACAGCTCCGCCCCTCTCTTCACCCGAGTGTCCAAGACATGTGGCCGCAGATCAGATGAGACGAAGGCAAAGTCCATCATCGAATTGTGGCCTAAGGTGTCCTGGTGCCAAAAGCACAAATGGACACCCTTATGCTTGAACATGGCGTTTGTTATGGGCAATCCATGACGAGCACAGAAGTCCAACAACAGAACACCACTCGGGTTCAGATCAGGGGGCCGTTCCTCCTAACCGCACCCCTCCAGGTCTCACTGTCATTGCCCACGTGAGCATTGAAGTCCCCCAGCAGAACAAGGGAGTCCCCATGAGGTGCATTTTCCAGTATCCCCTCCAAGGACTCCAAAAAGGGTGGATAATCTGAACTGCCGTTTGGTGCATAAGCACAAATGACAGGCAGAACCTGTCCCCCCCACACGTAGGAGGAGGGAGGCCACCCTCGCATTCACTGGGGTGAACCCCAACACACAGGCACCAAGATGGGAGGCAATAAGTATGCCCACTCCTGCTCTGCACCTCTCACCAGGGGCGTCTCCAGAGTGGAAGAGTGTCCAACCCCTCTCAAGGAAACTGGTTCTAGAGCCAGAGTCATGCGTAGAGGTGAGTCCGACTATTTCTAACCGGAACCTCTCAACCTCACACACCAGCTCAGGCTCCTTCCCCACCAGTGAGGTGATATTCCACGTCCCAATAGCCAGCTTCTGTAGCTGAGGATCAGACCGCCAGGGTCCCCGCCCTCGGCCACCACCCATCCCACATTGCACCTGACCCCTTTGGCCCCTCCCACAGGTGGTGAGCCCATGGGAAGTTTTTTTTTCATTCAGTTTTTATTTATACAGACTATCCTCACTGAGATATGGGGACTCGTTTACAAACGAGACCTGTTCCAGACAGAACATATAAATTATAGACAACAATAACAGTAAACAATGACAACAATAAACTAGAGTAAAAATGCAGTTAAAATAAGAGTAGTGTATAAAACAATAAATCAGGGTGCTGTAAAACGGGTCGAAATACTAAATGATGTTCCTTCTTAATCATGTGAACTGCTAGTTCTGACTGTCAGCTACAAACTGGTTGACCCACTATGATAAGGTGATGTTTAAAAGACTGAGTTTGTTGCAGCTCCTCAGACTCAAGAAGTCTTTTGGATAAAAGGTGAAATGTTTCATCAAAGAAGAATCCGTCCGTGACTCATCCTGGTTAGATAAGCCTCAAACAGTTCTTGGTCCAAAACTAGTCCTTCTATAAATCCGTCCTTAATCTGGTTTCTCCAGCACAAGCATAAATAACAAACTTTAGATTTAGACATCCTAAACATTTAATTAAGACTTTTGGTTTCAGTCGCCTTAAGATTAATTAACAAAACTGTTTTTATTTGATTCATCTCAGAGGTTTTTTTTTTTTATTAATTATTTTATTTAGTGATATCAAAAATCACTTGGAGTCTGTACCAGGGACTCCTGGTCCTTGGACCATATATCATTTCTTTAAATTCAGTTTTATCTCGTGTTATTTAATGTTAGTTTGGACAGTTATCTATGTAAACCGGAAGGATAAAGTTTTCCTTCCAAATAACTATATTATTTAGTCAACAAAGTCCATGCTCAATAATCCAGGTATACAATCCAACATTTTTCAGTCAGGTAATCTGGACAGTTTCTTTTTTTGTGCTGAAACGTTTCGCCTTCGATCCATAAGGCTTCATCATATTATTTAGTGTTTCTCAAAGCAGATAGTAGATGATAACTGTTTTCAGTCCTTATAGTGGCAGATAAAAAATAATTTTATCCTTGTGCATCTCATTTTTGTCTAACAGTTTAAAAGCTGTACCAGATCAAATCAAGCTGTTACTTGATCTGGTTTTTGTTGAGGGTTTTTATATTACAAATGGCGGATCTAACTCTTCTTGACCAGCCTGTAACTGTGCACGGCTTCCTCTGAGCAAAAAAACAAATAAAAAAACTAGGAACATTTGTTTGTAAATGACTGAAGTCAGCTGTTCAGAACAACTTTGCTCATAAATAAAACTTTAATCTGAATCAACCTGCTTTTTAATTCTCACTGTTTGTTTCTATTCTATTTAAAACACATTATTGCTTTAAATTATTTTTAAAAATGCTGTAAGCTTGTACATAAAGTATGGAAATATTAAATATTATTATTAACCAACAAACAGGTCCTCTGGACGGGTTCTTCACAGAAAAAGGGTTGTAAGCTCAATTATCTAGGTAGATAATTACAAAAAATGGTTCAGTCGTGTCCTCTGGACCAGTTTCATTAAGTGAGAAATGATGGGGGACATTTCAATCCTCAGTCTGTTCTTCACAGAAGAGCAACATCATCAGGCCAGGACTGATGTTTACAATCATCTCCAGGCCAGTGGTCACTCTTTCAGAGATGAAGATGTTCACATCCTTGATAGAGAGGAACAATCGGTTGAGGAGTGAAGGAAGAAGCCATCTTTGTGAAGAAAACTGTCATTAAACAGGGGTGGAGGCCTCCGTGTCCAACTGTCCCCCTCTTACAATGCTGTTATTGCTAGTATCACTCAGCCCCCTGTGAATAGCAAACAGCCATCAGGGTGCTGATGACAGATAGCTGGGGCTCCAATGATCTACTGTTAGGCTGATTATCCTCTTTTACCATGTGAACAACTAGTTCTGGTTGTCAGCAGCAAACTGGTTGGTCCACTAGACAAGGAGATATTTATAAAACTGAGTTTTCTTGCAGTGGTTCAGACTGAAGAAGTATTTTGGATAAAAGTTGAAACGCTTCAACAAAAAAGAATCTGTCCAGAGGACCTGACTTAACCTTGTTAGATGTTCACTTTAACTGTTTTATAATCCTATAAAATGTGTTTCTTGTACTTGGTGTGTTTTAAGGATCTTTGCAGTTTTGTTGCTGTATCTAAAATTTTTTTTCTGGTCATCAGGATACAAAAGACGATGGCAGTACAGGGAGGAAAGTGAGGCCATGATGTCCGAGTCAAAGGAGACTGAAGTGTGAGAAAAAAAGATTCCAACTGACTGTCACTTTTTTTAAAGAGAACACCAATATGTTAATGTTAATGTTGATTTTAAGACCATCTCCAAAATGCTTTTTATTTAAAAAAAAAAAAAAAATTTTTTTGGATGAGCACAATATTCTGGAGGTTTTTCAGTCTGGCTTCAAAACTCTGCAAAGCACAGAATCAGCTCTTGTCAGAGTTTTTAATGATATTCTTATGGCCAATGATTCTGGAGAACATGTGGTTCTTGTCCTGCTCGACCTAACCGCTGCCTTTGATACCGTGGACTAAAACGTTTTAAAATCACGCTTACAGTACCAAGTGCGTATCTGTGGTACTGCACTGAGCTGGTTTAGGTCCTACCTGGCAGACAGGACCAAGTGTGTCAACATAGCTGGTTCTGAATCCTCCACTGCTTCCATAATTTTTGGGGTTCCACAGGGCTCTATTTTAGGTCCGTTGCTTTTATCCCTTTCTGCTTCCGTTGGGATCAATCCTCAGAAAGCATGGGATCTTTTTTCACTGCTATGCGTATGATAGTCAGATCTATATGCCACTAAAAAAGAAAGATGTGTTCTCAATTAGGCCACTTCTGTTGTGTCTTAAAGACATCAAAGCCTGGATGTCTTTAAACTTTTTAAATTTCAATGAAAAGAAAATAGAAGTGATGGTGTTTGGTCCTAGTGACTCTTGTGAACCTTACCGTTGATTTGGGCCCTCTGGCACCACATATAAAGAAAACTTTCTAACTTGGGTTTTAAAATGGACAGTGATTTTAAATGATATTCCCAGATTGGAACGGTGGTCAAGACCAGTTTTTATCACCTCAGACAGCTACCATATCATTACCATCCATCCATCCATTATGTTTACCCATTTATTCCACTTTGGGTCACGGGGGTCGCTGGTGCCCATGTCCAGCAATCACTGTGCGAAGGGCGGGGTACACCCTGGACGGGTCGCAAGTCCATCACAGGGCCACATAGAGACAAACGAGACAAACAACCATTCACACCCTCACTCACACCTAGGGACAATTTAGAGTTACCAATCAGCCTAACATGCATGTTTTTGGTCTGTGGGGGGAAACCGGAGTACCCGGAGAAAACCCACGCATGCACGGAGAGAACATGCAAACTCAACCCAGAAAGGCCCCTGGACCAGGGTTTGAACCAAGGACCTGCTCACTGAGAGGCAGCAGCTCTACCAGTTGCGCCACCGTGCTGCCCCATATCATTACCCTACCATTTTATTTATAGAGCACTTAAAACAGCTACAAGGCCAACCAAAGTGCTGTACAGACAGAACAACAGACAATACACGAAGCAATATACAAAATGAAGTAAATCAAAAATATAGACATAAAATCAATGCAGATAATAAATATGACGACAAACCAGTGTGGAGTGTACAGGTTCAAAACACAGATCATCTGATGTTGAAAGCTACTGAATAGTAGTGAGTTTTTAAACGGGATTTGAAAATCGAGAGGGAGGGGCCTGTCTGACAAGCAGAGGTAACTCGTTCCAAAGTCTTGGTCCTGCTACAGAGAAGGCCCTGTCACCTCTGTGCTTAAGATGAGTTCCTGGAACTGCGAGGAGCAATTGGTCCGCTGACCTCAGGGAACGTGGTGGGACATTCGGTTGTAGCAGATCAGA